CGGCCGCCCGCTCTGCGCGCTCGATCACAAAGCTGCTACAGTTTGCCCGCTGCTCGATGCGGACCCTGCCCTCGGTCGCCGAGAACACCTGCACATGGCCACCGGGGTGCCTTGCCCAGACCTGCCTCTGCCCCTGCCTGGCTAGAAATTTCCCAATGGCTCCCCATCACCACACCACGCTTAAGGCCACGGACAGCATGAGAGGACCTGCTGGGCCTGCACCAGCCTCCCCACTCCTCCCCACGGCCCTCCTCCCCCTCCAAACGTCGCCCTTAATTAAACACCAGACGGGCTCATCCTCAAGATCTCGTGTGCGGCGCCCTAACCCACTGCTCTATGGGAAGCGCACAGCTTGCTGAGCGGAGGCGTGAATAAAGACCGAGGCTGTAACTTTTACAAAAGATCCAGGGCCCGGGACATACAAGGTGAACATATTTGTCAGATGGATGGATGAATGGATAACTGTGCTGGTCGGTGGATAAATGGACAAATCGATTACTTACTGGCTGAGTGCATGGATAGATGAATTAATTAACTGATGAATGGAATGATGGGTGCATGGACAGATGGATGGATACATGAATGGAACGCCCCCTATGTATTAGGACAATACCACGTGATGGACAAACCTATTCTCCTCCTTCAAAACAATCTTCTGAAGAAGGTAGCACAATCCTCATTTTACAATGACACTTAAGCTCAGAGGGGAGAAACCACCTGCCTAAAAGTCACCCAGCCGAGCTGGGAGGGACGGACAGGACACAGGGGAAGCCCCGCCGCACCTCGTCCCCCTTCAGCCAGGTGGCAACGGGAAGCGGCTCCCCTGTGATGGCCACGTCCAGCCTCAGCTTGTTTCCAGCCACGACCTGAATCGCATTCTCTGAAGTCTTCCCTGAGCAGTCCAGGTGTATCTTTGGCGGCTCTGGTGGCAGAGGAGAGATTCTGGGGACCTGGGAACAGGGTGGCTAGGCCCTCCCGATCTACTATAGAGAGTCCCTGGAGAAGCGGGGTTCCAACAGCCATAGAGACCCAGGGGTCCAGGTCCCTCCCCCCTAGACCTAGGCCTCCAGCCCCTCCTCCCTCAGACCCAGGAATCCAGGCTCCAAGCTCCCCACTCCTCCCTCAGACCCGGGGGTCCAGGCCCTGGTTACCACAGTAGCCCCTGGCCCTTACCTTGCTTGGGGACGTACTCCACCTTGATTTCTGGGGGACACAGAAGACTAAATGGTTAGATATGAATGCAGCGGGCCCCTTCTCCCCTGCTCACAGCCCAGGGGCAGAGGGGAGTGTCCGGCATCACCCTGGGAACTGGGGTGTTGGGGTGCTGGGGCAGGTTCAGGGCCGGGACCGCCTCTCCTCC